AACAAAGAAGAAATGAAAGACGTACATTATTACCATGCACTGTTTTCTTCTTAAAGTGGTTATCAAACAATGCAGCTTTTAAGATTTCTCTGCAATGTCTGAGCTGTGCTGTGTTCTTCCTCTTGGCGTGATTTTTCGAAGGTAATATGCAACTCAAGCAAGAGGATAAGCTGAACTTGACTATTCTTTGTTGGGTAAAGACAGTATTGATGAGGTGTGACTCACTAGTGAATGCATGAGGGGACAGGGAAGGGTTTCACTTCAGTGAGATCTCTGGCTTGAACACTATGTCCTGTTTAGTATTGCAAGGGTTTTTTTTCTACTTCTGTCACCATTTGGCATAGGTAAATATATTGTCATTCATGTTTGCACTTGAGGTCACTGCATCAGATTTTTGCTGATTGAAGAAAGGAGTTTGATGGCTATTTCTCTGCAAGCTTTTTCTGCTTTTTTTTTTGAGTTCACAGGCCAGGTACGTAGCGCTCTTGCTAAACAGAGCCATCTCTTTACATGAACATTTTTATTCCTCTTTTGACCCAACAGGTATGAAAAAATGACCAGTGGAATGTACCTAGGTGAAATAGTAAGGCAAATTTTGATCGACTTAACCAAACAAGGGCTGCTGTTCAGAGGGCACATCTCGGAATCACTCCAGAAAAGAGGCATATTTGAGACAAAATTCCTGTCTCAGATTGAGAGGTAAAGTTGTTAGATTTACATGGTTTAAATCCCTAAAGGCATCTGGGACACCTAGAAAATAGTCTTTTATAAGTGTGTGGAGCCCTTTCCTTCAAGAAGCCAATTAAGTTAGTTTTAATTTTCTTCTTTGTGTGTACCCCACATCCAGAATAAAAGTTAAAAATAAGAACTGGGTGAGTTACAGAATTATTCTGTAATTATATAAATTATCATTTCCTGTCCATGCAACTGCATTATCTTGGATGCCTTAGCCATCAAACTTATGTTTGGAGTGTTTCTTGTGGGACTTAACATAGTACTTATTTAAGAAAGTAAGAAGTTAGTGTTACATGAATATGTGCTCTGCTGTATTATCTGTGCATGATTTCAATGGTCTCAAGGTTATTTGAAACTCTTTCTGCTGGGRAAAGCCTTGAAAGGAGTGTTTCAACCTTGAGATCTAAAGTAATAGTCAGATGGCTGATCTGGCTCTGCTCTCTCATGACTGGGAGTTAGATGAATGACTGCTTTTCATGCCTTCTGGAGATACAGCCTGACATGGCAAAGGACATGGCAGGAGCGAATTTTCAATCTGAATTCAGACAGAAATCTGCCTTAAAAAATGAGAGAGTGTTAGAGTTGAAGTGCTCCCATTTCCTTTGAACCACATGTGTCTCAGCTGCTGGAGCTTTCCCTAATTCCTCTCTGCTCCCTGTTCCTCCCTGGGCACAGTGACCGGCTTGCCCTCCTCCAAGTGCGGCGCATCCTGCAGCAGCTCGGCCTGGACAGCACGTGTGATGACAGCATCATTGTGAAGGAGGTGTGTGGAGTTGTTTCAAGAAGAGCTGCCCAGCTCTGTGGGGCAGGGCTGGCCGCTATTGTGGAGAAGAAGAGGGAGAACCGAGGTGTGGAGCGCTTGCAAATCACCGTTGGAGTAGATGGGACTTTGTACAAGCTCCATCCACAGTGAGTTGCCTTGGTACCACTTCCCTTTGCTGCTCACTCGTTTTCACTGTGGAAACATACCAAGCTTTCTGCTGAGGTGATTAAAAATGTGAGAGGGAGTAAGGATCTAACACATTTCCCTGCATTTTGTCATTTCCCCCCTTGCCTAGCCAAAGGATCAAATTGCAAAGTTAAGTCCAGTTACTACTGGGAGGCTCTTTTCTCTGGGGTGTTGAGTCAGCTTATTCTTCTAATACTTATTTCCCCATGTTTTGGCAGATTTCTGCAGTATCTGGGTCTCCCAGGTGGAAAGCTGTAATGAGTTTTTGGAGTTGGGTCAATATTTTGTGAGCAAGGCTTAGAAACAGATGCATTAGCTTTTGAGTTGGGAGAAAAGGACCTCCTTCATCCCTAAAGATGAGGGCAGCGTGTGGCGTCATGCTGAACAAAATTCAAGTGGAGAAATAAAAATTAGAATCTAATTGTGTTAAAAAATTGTATCTTCATGAATAAGTGGAAAAGCAAAAGCAAGCAATGCTGTAAAAGCTGTTGGCTGAGATTATGGTTCCTTGCTTATAGGTAAATACAAAGATCTCAGATCAGAGAGCAGCTGCTAAAATGTTCTGTTCCTCTCTCTTTTTCCTTTCAGTTTTTCTAGGGTCCTGCAGGAAACAGTGAAGGAACTGGCACCTCAGTGTGATGTGACTTTCATGCTTTCCGAAGATGGAAGTGGGAAGGGAGCTGCCCTCATTACTGCAGTTGCAAAAAGATTGCATAATGTTGGACAGAAGTAGAAATGAGCAGTTGAGTCATTTCAGTGTGCAGTAGCAATTTGCAGAGTAGTGATTCAAGATAGCTTTGCCAGACACCAGCAGCCAGGTACCTGTTTTAGGGGATCAGCTGGTTTTGACCAACCAGGATTGTGGATTTTTGTCCTTTGGTAATTTGGATCAGGTGTTTCTGCTCCTCACTGGCATTATGTCTTGGCATACCACAGGCTGTTCAGTTCTGTAACTCCTGCAATGCATCTGTAATGCACATGGGAGAGTGAAAACAAAACAAACAAACAAAAACATCAACCCAAATGTGTCTTTTTACAACATCTTAATTAAGCTACTGCACCACAACTGTGTTTTCATCGCCAGTTTCTTAGGATTTGTGAACTTTAGTTTTGACTTGGCCTGGCTCAAGGGATATTGAGATTCTGATGCTGCATCTTATCTAGTGGCTGTATTTGTTCAATGCTTCACAGGTTTTACAATAAATTTGCAGGTTGATGCTCCCCCCCACTGCTGCACTGGTTGCAAGTGTAATGTAATACTTCTCTGAGTACAGGAGGAATGTTTAATAGAAGAATGTAAAGGAAAAAATGTGATTCCACAGAATATCAGTTTGTGTCAAAATATGTCAGTGCATCTGAGTCACATAAAGCAATGCTGGATGGATTCTGACTCTGACTGGTTCTTTTGGTACTGGAGGAAAGGCTGAATGTAGAAGGACCTACAGAGTTTGCTGTGTGTATCGTGGCTACATAGAGAGTATCAAACAGACCACCAAAATAGCTGTGTAGAGAAAAAAAAAATCACCTGAATTTCTGAAATTCTCCTCTTTGTTTTCCCTCTGTTATCTTCTTGCTGGCTCCTGAGAGAATTGTTTCCATGTTGTGCAAAGAAGTTTATCCTTGGTTTTTGTTTATTGTTGCCTGCTGCTCTGCCTGTTTGTAGTCTGTTTGTAAATAAATCTGTGGTGCTGTGAGCTTTTAGTTCTCTGTCTAGTGCGTCTTCTGAGTTGTGGGAAGAACACGCAGGCAAGTGGAAGCTTTCTTAAAACATAAATCTTTAAACCTAAATGTTTCTTTAAATCTGTAACAGTACTCAGCAGCACTGCAGTGATTGTAAAGGTGGTTTGTGGATAGAGCCTGTGGCCCTATGTAACCAAATGTTCCTCCCCTGATTTACCCAGAACAAACCTAAAAAAATAATATGCTACAGAGAAGCAGCAAATCTGAATCCTGCCTATTCTCTCTTCTCAAGTATTCCTGTATCTCCTTTAATCCTCTTTCTGTGGGTATTTGCTTCCTTGCAGGCTGACAGGAGAAAGTGGGGCCAAGAAATGTGCTTTAAGCCTAGTTAGGTCAAAAGTAACTATGATGCAAGGGGATAAGCAGTTGGGCTTATGTAATAATCTGTGACACGGCCGCCGCTGGGTTTAAATTTAGCAATCACAAATTCAAAATTGGAAGCTGCAGACCTTTCCTGTTTTGTAGTTTTTTAAAAAAACCAAAATATGTCAACAGCTCTGTGTCTGTGTTGGAGTTATTGGATGGGTAAAAGATACTTGCAGTTAGTTTTCACTTCAGAAGGAATTCCTCATGTGCTGAGGTCACTGTACTGAATGGTTGGGAAGAGACAAGTTGTGAACTCATATTTAATGTTTTCCTCCTTTGGTCAAGGAACTTCATATTTTACTTTTTCTTTATGTTTCAGAATCCACAGAACTGCAGAAACCAAAGCTTCTTATATAGGAAGGGCAGGTTTGCAGGTTGCAGGTTAAATTTGGAGAGGATGGGTGCAGAAGAAAAAAATATCAGGTATTAGAGTTATGAGGAAGGGAGAAACATGGATTTCAGCACCTGAAATCTTGTACTATCTGTGTAGTTTGGGGCCTTTTGGAGGGAGAGGATTCTGCTAATCTGCAGAAGTACAACTGTGAATGAAGTATGTCTCTGTACATGTGGAATGAGGTGATGCAGTGATGCAATCTTGCCCCAGGATGGCCGCGTGAGTATGGTGCAGAATATCTTTTGCACTTTTAGTCTAAAGCCTGTTCTGCATAATTGGAATGCAAATCAATAACTAAACTAGGTAAACCCCTCACATTTAGGAAGAAATCTTGTCTTGCTTTGGTTTTTCTTTTTAGTCTTTTTGGGAAACGAAATGCTGACATGAAGTCAGTTTCCACCTTAGCTGCAGTTACTCCTTTTCTGCAGTAGATTAGGCCTGCACAATAATATTTTTTTGCATGTGCCAGTTTGTTTTTTTTTTCCAGTAAGTCTCTGGATGTCATGAAATTCGATCGCATGGACCTGAAACTGCTCTCAAAGTGCTCAGCAGCTCTTGCTGATGTCCCTGAGGCCCAGGACACGCATGCTCCTGCCTTTCCTGCAGGCAGCTTGCTCTGGTGCCAGGCAGCTCCCACAGCTGTGATGCCCATCTGCTGGGCAGGGAGATGGATCTGAGCTGAGAGAGCTGCTGCTGTCTGAAGGGAAATGGCAAAGGTTTGCTGGGCAGCCCTGGAAAAGGACAGCATTGGCTACTGTGGGGTTTTAGCAGGGATATAGACTTGTGGTTTCCCAGGCATCCCATAAAGACACTGATGCTTTGGCTTTCTCCAAACCAGAGCATTCTCCATCTGGGTAATGAGGCAGCACCAATTCCTGATTGTGTTGACATGTGGAAACTCAACGTCTGGTGCAAACTTGCAATCTGCCTCGTACAGATATTAAACTGCTGAAGCAAAACCCTTCTCTGCACATTGTACCTGGTGATTCAGTTAAAAGCCTTAGCTCACAATAAAAATAGAGGTCTTCTCTTAAATGTAACACAGCATATCCTATGCTGAACAGCAGTTCCTCACATGACATTGTCAGTTAATTTGAAATAAAATGGGATTGTTCTGATTTCATATATTAAATTTTTATTTCTCTACTTTTCTCCTGCCTCATGGATAGCTCTGTGATGCTTCATTTCTGCCTACTTTCCCTCCAGTCAATACATTTAATGCTTGAATTTATGAATTTTGTTTTGATGCTTCTTGAAGACATGAACTTCTTTTTTTTCACATCTAGGTCCCACATGTTGATTCCATGATTTGGAAAGTTGAAAGATCTTTAAATCTCAGGTGTGACAGAAGTATTTCCTCCACAGGGTGGAGGAAATAAGGTCTGTGCCTTTCAGAAATCCCCAATAGATGGTTGCAGTTACCCTTTCATCCATGGGGAAAGAATGATCCTAAAAACGTTGGTTTGCCTGCCAGAGACACATTTTGGTGCTGTCGATTTGGACAGCACTGGCCCTTGACCCATAATCTGGAAATAATGCAGTAGCAGCTCAGTGGTGACATATTCCCTTTGTCACTCTGATGAAATTCGAAAGTAAATATAGGATCATGTGGAAATCCTTCAGAAATCCTGATTAGCATGATCTCCCTTCTTGGGAAGTCAATATTATATAGGATTAGCAGATTAGTGTAAAGGAGTTTTAGGCTGAAATGCAGGTAATACCCAAATGAAAGTTTTGTTTCTTTGATCTTTCTAAATTTGTTCCTTTTTGTTTGGTGAAATGAGCTGCCTTTGGTTTGAGGGTCCCGGATACAAGGTCACCATAGGAATTAGGGTGAGGCAGGGAGAACAGGAACCTTGGGGAATGTTGTCCTGTTCTAGGTAAACTTAAAGTTTCTCTAGAAAGGACCACCACTGCCTTGAACTGTCACTGGGGGGTTATCCAGAGCTTTTCTCAGGCTTATTAAGTGATAAATACATATATATATATATAATAATAATAATATAAGGGACCTATTCCTGTGCACAGGTGGCCTGTTGGGGTGAGAGGAAGAGAAATAAGCTAGATATCTTCTTTGTTCTAACACTGAATCCACTCTGTAAAGCTGATGTGGAAAGCAAGATATAAAACCACCAAAATCTTAATTAATGTTTTCCTTTCTCTCATTGATACTATCACCTTGCCAGTGCACACTGAAGGTGCTGTAAGCGTGATGGATCATGTCTGTCTGGGAGGGGAGTGCCAAAATAATTTTGATCTTCTTGTGTGCTGTTTTAACACCATCCAGATGCCAGCCCCTTCCCTACTCAGCATTACACTTCATCTGCCCTCTGGACCTGGGGGCCTCACACAGCCCAGGCACCTCTAAATTCAATAAAAGCTGTGTTCTGTGAAGAGAGAACAGTTTTGGTAATAAACCTGGTAAACATAGGTTCCTCCAGAAAGCCCTTTCCACTTCACAAGGAATTGGCTACAGGAAAATGGGCAAAGGGCTCCAGGTGGGAGGTTTCCTGTGCAGCAGTTGGAGAACCAAATGTTGGGGAATCTTGGCAAGCAGGAGCTTGCTGGGAGGAATGGAAGAAGGTCCTTTCAGTCTCTTTCCTGACTGGGGTATTAAAAAAGAATCTCAAACTCAAAACAACCAAACCCTCCCAAAACAACGCAAATTATTATTTTTATCTGGAAAAGTCTAAGTTAAAACCAGACAAAAAAACAAACCAAAGCTATATTTAAAAAAAAAACCAAAAGGGACAAGGAGACACTGAATCTGTTTCCCTACCACTATTATTTTATTTTCTTCTTTTGCTGAGAAGGAGAGAGGCTGTTTGGAGAAGAGGGGAGAGATATGTGACGAATATGGCACATCAGCAGTGTAAGCTTCCCCATAAATTTGTTATTGCATATCAGGGCAACTTTAAAGTCAGTCTTAATAGTGGAGAAAAAGGATGACAGCATGCAAGGTGTGAAATTTTAAGAGCTATTAATTACAAGGGTTATTCAAGGAAGTTAACTGAGTTAAGGGATAAATGTGTTTGTTGTTCCATGTTGGGGGGAGGCAGTGGGGTTGTTACCTTGATGGTATCCATTTTATTTGGACTTGGAGATGAGATGTAGTTCCTAGCCTTAGGCATTTCAGAACAGGGTTTGCTCTCAAACCCACTAGTGTTTTTGATATGGTTTACTTTTCTGGTTCTTTTTGATGTTCTCAATTTGCTGCTTGGATGTTCAGCTTGCCAAAGGTTTCTGTGCACCTGGGAAGCCCCTGTTCTCATAGGGCTGGTTTGGCTGGGGATGCTCTGCCATCTGTTTAGCTGTGGGACTGGGACCGCTGCCCTCCAGGCTATTGTAGAGGACTGTCCTCATCGTGTCAGGCTTCACCCCCTCCTGGGAGCTGAAATAAGGCTGTTCTGTGCTGCCACAAGAGTTGGAGAGCAGGGAGATGTGGAGGGAATGAGACCCGTGGGGCTGAGCTCAGCCCAGGCATTCCCCTCAGTGCTCACTTTTGGGGTGAGCTGAGATCCTGGGGCAGCAGCCACCTCTGGCCTTGGCTGCATGGAAGCACAAATAAAACCCGACTAGGATTGGGATGGAAGTGGTTAATGGAGCAGAGCAGCTGGTGGTGGACACCTTGATCATAGAGGGGAGCTCTGCAGGAGGAGAAAATGGGAGGTGGAAGAGCATGGAGGGAAAGTCTGTGAGAGTCTGAGCAGGTAAACAAGGAGGGTGCTTTCCCAGCAGGCATGTCCTGCACACTTCAAAGCAGAAAGTTATGGACACTAATTTGTGAGCAGCAGCTGATTCTGGAAACAAATGGGATAAATACTGGCATGAAAAAAAAAAAAAAAAAAAAAAAAAAAAAAAAAGTTGAAATGCCTGAAGGGCACATCTGCTGTGGCCAGCGATTCTGCAGGAAATGCACTCAAACCAGAGAGGGTTGAGGAAACTGGACATAAACACAGTTCCCAGTGAAGGCAAAAATGAAAGCCAAGGGCCTGGGAAGTGCCTGTGGTAGTGTGCTGAGAATTTGGCTTTCTTTTCCTGGCTCTGCAATGAAGTAGCTGTGTTTAACGTGGGCCTGAGTCCGGCTGTGCTGAAGGAATTATAAAGGTGTTTTGTGTTCTGAACTCTGAAATTCGGCTCTAGAGCCCTCTCTGTTGCTTGCAAGTGTGTGTTTTCAGAGCTGTGGGTCTAAAGCCCAGTCTGTTAGTCTGAAATTTGAATAATTGCATGGTCATTAAATTTTGCACAAAAAAGAATTGACTCTAAAAGCAGCTGATATGTTATCACGATTAGAGCAATAGCAATGCCTTCTTTCATCACAATGAAGTTACATTGTTAGAGAGCATAATTGACATTTTTCATTGAAAGATTAAGAAGAATTTGTTTACAGCTTGCAAACAAAGAGGTTTTAATTCAACAGACTGCAGCAGGAATAAGCAGTAAGTGGCATTTTCATCTACTGGCCGGCTAGAGCTTTAGCTGCAGAATGCTGTGGATAGAGAAGTATGAAGGAATTTGCAGCTCAATATCTGCCCAGTAAAGCGTGCACCACGCTGGCAAATGCCAGAAAGCTGACGGGGAGAAACCTTGAGTGCAAAGAAACAAAGGGTTATAAATCATATTAGCACCTTTTGGGAAGACACGATGTCTTTTGGAGACCAGCTTCATGCCGCCCGTTGTGCAAAGGTCAAAATATGGCATTTCTGAGGATGCTTTTGCCACGGAGTCCTCAGGATAACACCTGTCTACTCAACTGGGTGCTAAAGTAGGTATCTGGGTTATTTTTGTTTCTCTGGGTTTATTGTTTCATGGTCTAATAGGCTCAGGAGCTAAGTGGTACTGGCATTTCAAAGTGGCATGTTGTGATTGGAAGGGGGTGCTGTGGAAGTGTTTGGAAAGCAGATCCAAATGAAGCACCATCGGCATTCGACTGCAGAGAAGCTCTTTTGCTTTTCAAATATATTTGGGATCCTGTTTGTGCTGGTGGTTGTGTCTTACTGTCCTGACTACTCTCCTGATAAAGCCAAGGGTATGTGAAAAATTCGGGGTTTTTTTAAAGCAAATTCCTCTTGTGCAGTTGGAAGTTGTTTGGATTTATCGTCCCAGCTCTGGTCAAAATTTAAGAGCCCAGGTTGAACCCTGCTGTTCTGAATATGCAGTGCTGCAGAGCAAGGAAAAAATCCCTTTGGGGTGCTTGGGATGCTGACAAAGCTCTGCAAGGAGGGTGCTCATCCCACCAGCCAGGGGAGCATCTGTTAAACCACGTGCAATGCCACTGCTGTGAGGGGAGGGAAGGGGCTGACCAGGCCCCTGAAAAGCTTGAGAGCTCCTCACCTGTGCCACACCTCCATCCCAGCAGCTTCATGCTGGAAACCTGAATCTGCAGCATCTGGTACTGAGGGCAGA